TGAAAATTGTAATGGGAGAACCTATTAAATAGGATCTAAACTTGTCGAGTGCAAAGATCATAGCTAGTAGCTCTTTTTCAGTTATCGAATAGTTCATCTGAGCCCTGTTAAGAGTTCTACTAGCGTAGTAAATGACAAAAGGCTTACCCTCTCTTCATTGTTCCAGTACATCACCTACCGCATAATCACTAGCATCACACATAATTTCAAACGGTAGGGACCAATCAGGTGGTTGCATGATCGGTGCAGAAGTGAGCTTGTTAATCAGTGTTTTAAATGCCTCTTGGCATTCTGGGGTCCATTCAAAATTGGCTTCTTTACTTAGAAGGTTACACAAGGGTCTGGATATGGATGAAAAGTTCTGTATAAACCTCCTATAAAAACCTGCGTGACCTAGAAATGATCTTATGTCTTTGACGATTTTAGGTGTAGACAATTTGGAGATCAGTTTAATTTTTGATTTGTCGACCTCTATTCCTTTAGAAGAAATTACATGTCCTAAGACAATTCCTGAAGGTACTATAAAATGACATTTCTCCCAATTCAAAACTAATCTTTTTTCCACACACCGGGTCAAGACTCTCTTCAAGTTAAATAGGCATGCATCAAACGAGACTCCAAACACTGTCAAGTCATCCATGAAAACTTCCATGCGCTCCTCTATTATATCAGTAAATATGCTTATCATGCATCTTTGGAATGTGGCAGGGGCGTTACAAAGTCCAAATGGCATCCTACGAAATGCATAAGTACCAAATGGACAAGTAAATGTGGTCTTCTCTTGGTCTTCTAAGGCTATTTCAATTTGATAATAACCAGAGTAGCCATCCAAAAAACAGTAAAAAGGATGGCCAGCCACACGCTCCAGGATTTGGTCTAAAAAGGGGAGAGGAAAGTGGTCCTTATGGGTGGCAGCATTCAACTTCCTATAATCAATGCACATGCGTCATCCAGTCACTGTTTTTGTTGGAACCATTTCACCTACTTCATTTTTTACCACTGTGACACCAAACTTTTTAGGGACTACCTGTGCAGGACTAACCTATTTACTATCTGCAATAGGATAATGATACCTGCATCTAACAGTTTCAGCACTTCATTTTTCACAACTTCTTTTATTGTCGGGTTTAGCCTACGCTATGGGTCTCTTTTAGGGGTGGCTCCTTCTTCTAAATGAATCCTATGTGAGCAAATTAGAGGACTAATACCCTTAATGTCAGCTATGGTCCAACATAATGCAGATTTGTGTTCATTCAGAATGTTTAAAAGTTGCTTACATTGTAATGCATCCAATTCTGAAGAAATAATTCCAGGAAAAGTATCACCTGGTCCAAGGAATTCATGTTTCAATCCTGGGGGTAGCGGTTTCAAATCTGGTTTGGGGCTCTCAATGCTTGATGGTCGCTGGCCGCCCGTCCTTTCTGGCAATTCTTCAAATTTGGGTTGCCATGGTGATGTCCCATAGTCCTGAAATTTTGCAAAAATAGCACAAATGTTAGCATATTCTTCATCATTAACACTTGCTGGAATTGCAGAATTCAAAAGAAAAAGATTTAAGGGGTCAGAATTTGTAGTCTCAAGTGCCTCCTCCTGAGTGAGTGCCTCCTCCTGAGTGAGTGCCTCAATCATATGTGTGTGGTGGTACTCATCACTTTCCATTGGTTGCTTAGCAATGTGGAAAATGTTGACTTCTAGAGTCATATTCTCAAAAGATAATTTCATTAAACCATTCCTGCAATTTATAAGGACGTTAGCTATGGCGAGGAAAGGTCTACCAAGAATAATAGGAATTTTAGATTCAACATTAACATCAACCTTCACATCCAAGACTAAGAAATCAACGGGGTAGTAGAATTTATCAATTTGAACCAACACATCTTCAACTACTCCCCTAGGTCTTATAGTGCATCTATCGGCTAGTTGTAGAACCACAGAAGTGGGTTTAATTTCACCAAAACCTAATAGTAAGTATATGGAATGGGACATGAGATTAACACTGGCTCCCAGATCAAGGAGAGCTTGTGCAAACTCATGGTTCCCGATGACACAGGAAACAGTTAGACAGCCAGGGTCTTTATATTTAGGTGGGATCCTTTGTTCAATCACAGCACTCACTTGTTCGGTTAAGAAGGCAGTCTTTTTGACAATGTGTTTCCTCTTCATAGTGCACAAGTCCTTAAGGACTTTCGCATATGTAGGAACTTGTGAAATTACATACAAGAGTGGAAGATTGATTTTTACTTGCCTAAGGTGTTCTAGGATCTCACTGTGTTGATTGACTGATTTTGGGTTAAGCTTAAGGGCTTGTGGAAAGGTACCTTCGATGGATTTCCTTCTGCCTCATCACTAGGGCTACTTTCTTCAGACTCACTAGACTCCTTTTCATTTTCCCTAGGTTTTGAAATTGGTTCTATAACCTTCCCAGATCGAGGGGTGATGGCATTTGCTTCTTTAAAGTTACTCTCTCCTGAACCTGAGGTTTGAGCCATATGCTGTCCCTTAGGATTAGGTTGAGCTTGTGCTGAAGATTTCCCACGTTCTCCCACAGTTAAGGCATTGGTCAATTTAGACACATGATTTTTTATCTCCTTATTTTCCTCCACTACTTGGTTAATCATAGTCTCAAACTTTTGATTGGTCTTGCCTTGTGCCTCTATGAATGCATTAGGGTATCTTCTAAAGAGTTCCTAGAGGGTGTGGGTTGATATGATGGTGCACTGTAAGTTCTATTTGATTGGGTAGTTTGTTGGTTTTCAGATTTCCAGCGAGATTGTGATGATTGCGCCACCCTGGGTTATAGGATTCGGAGAAAGGAGAATAGGGCTTCCTATATGTGCCTAAGGCATTACAATGTTCCTCATAAACCCCTCTCATCTCAATTAAAGTGGTGCACTCTTGGGCTAGGTGATCTACTCCACCGTACACAAAACAAGGTCCCAAAGATTCAACACGCGAAACAATTTGTGCAGGTTTAGAGCCTTTAGCACACAAGGTCTCAAATTCCTTAGTAAGGGCTTCCACTTTGGCCTTAAGACTATCTTCTTCCCTAAGTTGATAGATACCTGTACTAGTGGGGTTTCCTGGAGGTCGTGACCTATTGCTACTATCAGTAGGGCTAGGTCCTGTCCAAGTATGAGCTTTCTCAGCAAGATCGTCTAGATACTCTATGGCCTCATCTGGATCCTTCTGCAGGAAATCACCATTACACATCATCTCTACGAATTGACGTTCCCTAGGTGTTAATCCCTCATAAAAGTAACTAACTACACGCCAGCTCTCATAACCATGGTGAGGACAAAGGGCTTGTAGTTCTTTAAATCTCTCCCAGGCCTGATATAGGGTCTCACTATCTTTTTGGGTAAAAGATGAGATTTGCTTCTTACGGGCGCTAGTCTTATGGTGGGGAAAGTATTTATTAAAAAATGCTTGCGTCATTTCAGCCCATGTACCAATTGAACGTGGTCTCAACGAATATAGCCAATTTTTGCTCTCTCTTTAAGTGAAAACGGGAAAATTTTTAACCTGGCTGCATCCGTTGTACCATGTTGATTGTGGAAGGTTGCAACTACCTCCTCAAATTCCTTAATATGCACGTATGGGTTTTCACTGTCAAGTCCATGAAAAGTGGGAAGAAGTTGAATCATTCCCGATTTTAGTTCCATACGTGGCATATTGGGCAGAAACATTATGCATGATGGTGTGGATGTACGTGTGGGGTGCAAATAATCATGCAAAATCCTATAAGGCGCATCGCCGTGTTCACTATCAGACATAGTGTTATGTGTTGAGGTGTTCGTGGCAATTGATGCAGTAGCAAAATAAGGGTTATATTGAGATTCAAACACTGGATAAGGTGCTCCAGTAGAACTCTCCTGATTGCCTCGATCTCTGCTCATCAAACACACAAAAAAAAAAAAAACAAAGAAAATGTGAAAACAAAATAAAAATAACACTAAAAAAAAATTAAATCAAATAAAAATGAAGGAAAAAGGAACGATGTCACCATTTTTCGGTCGATCCCTTGATTACTTGTACCGTCTCCACGGCAACGGTGCCAAAATTTGATTACGCTCAAAGTATAACGCGGTGATTGTAGTACAGCTTTGGGGGTGTCGTATCCACAGGGAGATGGAAATTTTCTCAAAAAAATCAAACAAACTAGGGTTTTCGTAATTTTATGTGGGAATGATTTCTCACTTGGAATAAAAATTAATTATCAATATGCAACATAAGTGAAGCGTCGAAATTCCCCCAATGGATTGGATCAATCGACATCAATAATTCATATATTTTTCCTCAATTAGAGATTTTCTTCCCAACTCTCTAATCGGAAGATTTAACAATAAAGTCCAATTTAATTCCAATTATATTGCTAGAATCTAGATTTTCTATAACACATTCACACATTTTTTTTATTGGAACAAGATCAAAGATCGACCATATACATCAAGCATAAGGCAGTAATCAATTCGCCAATAAAGTAATATTAAGATTAAAATTCAACAATTATTTCAACAATAAATAATTCAAATTGTAATTCAACAAGTATTTCGGATATTCGATAGAGAAAGCATGACTGAATCTATGGAAATTCTAATAATTGTTAAACTAATGTCAAAAACATATTCAAGATATGGAAATTCGATCCTAAAATTGTTTAATAATGAAAAACTCAATTACATGAATTAAAAATGTCGAAATCACTAAAACCGATTGAGATCCTTCATTGCTTCACCAAGTTCCTTAGTTTTCCATGGAGTTTCTTGAGCACCAAGATGAAAGAAATAGGTCTGGGGCGTCTACCTTCGTTCTGGGTGGTTTTGGGCATTTATATCCCGTGAAAATTAGGTTACCATAAGAGATTCAATTGTATAAGGAAACTGAGATTCGGCAGCCCAAAAAACACTATGCGACCGCATGGTTATTGTCATTGCGGTCGCATGGTTATGCACTTTCGGCCTCTTCAATTCTCGGTATAGGTGTGTGCGACCGCATAGTATAAAGGCATGCGACCGCATGGTTCCGCCCGACAGCTTTCAATGTTTTAATCATAACTTTCTTTCCCAATATCCAATTGAGGTGATTCAAGTTACATTGGATAGATAACTCAAAGGGCCACAATTTTTATTCAGAAGTCATCTCCCAATTCGATCATCTTCCATGTCAAAAATGGGTCCCAACATGAGACTAAAAACTGGTGTGTTAGTTTTCGATTGGAAATTGATGTATTGATCAAATTTTGACGTTATTTCATTCCTTTGACTTCTTTTCTCATCCACTTGACCTCTAACACTTTCGAATCTTCATCATAATCTTAGACACAAGTTTGAATCATTTGTACTTTAGTCCCCGAACTTTCGTTCTCTTCTACTTTGGTCATTTTTCACTTGTTTCTTCCGAATTTCATCTTTTTCACCAAAATGCAACCTAAACCAAAATATAAGAGTAATGAGTGCATTTTGGCATAATATAATCACATGAATGCAATAGTTAAGAGGGGAAAATATGGTATTTTACACTCTTATCAAATATCGAATATCTTTGCATAACTTCTTTTGTATCTGGTTAGAAGCAAATAAAAGAAAAATTTTATGCACTCCCATTTGACATGTATTATACATTTATAAAAATGGTTGAATCAAATAATGTCATGAATCAGAAGTTCGTTGACTCAAAAAGTTTTATACTTTGACATGATCGACTTGGACATCCAGGGGCTATAATGTTGCGTCGAATAATAAATAATTCACATGGACATCCTTCAAATAATAAACAACTCACATAGTCATTAGATTTTCTACTACAAAGGTAAATATTGAATCTCTAACTTTCTTGGAAAGAATTCATGGCCATATATGTGGGCCACTACACCCACCATGTGGACCATTTCGTTATTTTATGATATTAATTGATTTTTCTACTAGATGGTCACATGTTTGCCTACTCTCTAGTAGGAATATAGCATTTGCTAGACTACTTGCTCAAATTATAAAATTATGAGTGCAATTTTTCGATTACTCAATTAAAACTATTCGCCTTGACAATGCTAGTGAATTCAGGTCACAAGCATTCGATGATTATTATATGTCAATCGGGATTGTAATTGAACATTCAGTTGCACATGTCCATACACAAAATGGTTTGGTAGAGTCGTTTATCAAACGCCTACAACTTATTGTTAGACCATTACTTATGAAAACAAAACTCCCAACTTCTGTTTAGGGTCATGCCATATCATATGCTGTATCATTGGTTCGTATTAGACCAACTACCTATTATCAATATTCACCTTTGCAACTAGCATTTGGTCACGAACTTGATATTTCTCACCTACGGGTTTTTGGTTGCGTAGTCCAAGTCCCCATTTCACCCCCACAACGTACTATAATTGGTCATCAACGAAGACTTGAGGTTTATGTGAGTTTTGATTCACCATCAATTATTAGGTATCTTGAATCTTTAACAAGTGATTTATTTACTGTACGTTTTGCAGATTATCATTTTAATGAAATGACTTTCCCAACTTTGGGAGGAAAAAACCTACATCCTGGAAAACAAGGTAAAATTTCTTGGAATGAAACAACTCTATCTCATTTTGATCCCCGCAGCAATCAATGTGAGCAGGATGTTGAAAAAATCATTCATTTGTAAAGAGTTACAAATCAATTACATGATGTATTTGTTGACACAAGAAAAGTGACAAAGTTATATGTTCCAGCAAAAAATATTCCAGCAAAAATTGATGGCCTTGTAGGACAATCTGTTGTAGCAAATGAATCTCAACTACGCCAGAAGCTTGGTCGACCAGTTAGTTCAAAAGACTCTGTACCTCGAAAAAGAAAAATACATGAGAAAAATCAACCAAAAGTTTTTGAAGAAGTCACATTAGAAAAGATTGATTAATTAGATATTGAAAATACGGTTCCTAAAGAATCACAAGTGTCCGAAAATAATGAGATTTTAATAAATTATATGTTATCTCATAAATTATGGGAACGAAATAATATTGTTATAGACAATATTTTTGCCTTTAATGTGGCTCTTGATATTATACAAAATGAGGATCCTGAACCACAGTCGGTTAAAGACTATCAAAATATAAATGATTGGCCAAAATGGAAAGAAGTCATTCAGGCAGAGTTGAATTCTTTAGAGAAACGAAAAGTGTTTGGACTTGTAGTTCGAACACCTGAAAATGGGATTCCTGTTGGATACAAATGGATTTTTGTACGAAAGAGGAATGAAAATAATGAAATTACAAGGTACAAAGCCCGACTAGTAGCTCAAGGTTTCTTACAAAGACCAGGGAGAAAAATATATTCTCCCGTAATGGACTCCATTACTTTTAGATTCTTAATTAGTTTGAATGTATCACAAAAGTTTGATATGCACCTTATGGATATAGTAACTACATATTTGTATGGTTTACTTGATAGTGACATATATATGAAAGTTTCTGAAGGACTTAAGGTATCAAGAATAAACGATACATGCCCGAGAACTATGTTCTCAATTAAATTGCAAAGATCATTATATGGATTAAAACAATTCGGACGCATATGGTATAATAGTTTTAACGAATATTTGTTGAATGAGGGTTATAAAAATGAGGATGTCT